GATGAGTCATATGGAAGCATGTTATTGGACTTATCCTTCTTTTGGAGTTCCCATTATGTTTTATTGGTTCTCGTGTGTGATTTCAAACTAGACTAGATCAATGATCTCAGATAGGCTCCTGCTCACCTTTTCAAGGAGTACCAGTTACTTTCTTATTCTGGAGGTTTTTCTCTTGATAATTAAATTATCATTTCTAAAAGGTTACTGGTCTTATTATTTTTTTAACTAGGTGTATAAATATGAGCACTTTGTTCCTTACATTTATGATCCCTTTTTTCAGTGAACGTAACTTCTTGCTCTATGGCTTCACCTTAAGAATGAATATGTTTTCTGTTATGTATAAATAATCATGCAACTCTATTTCTCTCATCATGTAGCTGTTGCAGCAACAGCTATTCCTAATTCAGATGATAGTTCGAGTAAGATTGTTTCTTCAGAAACTGCAAGTCCATTGACTCCAAATTCATATGAGGTCAGCTCTCTCTATTTGCATTTTGTACTCTGTCAGAAGACAGTAATCTGATCATTATATTGCTGGTATCTAGTGATATGAAGTAGCGAAACTTCCTTGCTGGTGGAGTCTTGTCAGCCACTACAAATTTCAAAACATATTTTAGAAATTTTAGGAACTTGGGAAACAGCTTTAAATAACAGAGTGTAACTACAGTAGCACCACGATGAAATGTGAAGTGCAACAAACTCATCTTTTTTTTTTTCCATTTCCAGCTATGTTGGGTTAAAGGTGAATGTTTTGGCAACGAGCTTATCCCTTGTCTGAAGTTCCTCAAAAAATTGACTTCCTCAGCAATCTAGTTAGCTGTTGCATAGCAGCTTGTAGTCTAAATACTTGAGCTTTTAATTAAATCTTCCTTGAAATTTATGAATATTTAGATTCTTGTGAATTTTAGGTGAAACCTACAAGATAAATAATTGGTAAGGTACCTCCTTGGTATTATTGGTGTTCCTTGGTAGCTCAGATTCTTTGAAAGATAAAATGCAGAGAATGCTCAGCAGATCCCTTTCCTTCCTCTCATTTCTATCAGATTTTTCCTTAATGTTATCAATTGTTTGATAACTACTAATACCAATTTTAGTATTTGGATTCTGACTATTTCACTCCTGCTTAAAGAGTCAGTCTATGTTGCTTAGAGCGTTATTTACATCTGCAGTTGACATGACTCGCCCCAATGCGTTTTCCTTTTGTATGTTGCTAACAGACTTTTGTGTAGTACATGCATCCTTTTTACACTATACCTCCTAGCTTACTTCCTATTTGAATATTTGGACGGTGCTAGTGTAAAACATTGCATTATTTTCATTAAGAAAAAGTTTTAACCATCACATTATTGTAGAGTAGCTTTGTGGATTTTATAAGGAAGATAATAAAGTCGCAGTGAAGGCTGAGTGCAGATTTGGCTTCAAGCTTCCAGCTAGTAGGCTCATTTGACGAGAAAATTTTGAACCCTGTTAGTGTTCTTTAATGGCAAGATTTAGTGGCAGGTAGGGGGAACTCGTAACGCCAGTTATGGTAAGAAAACGTCATGTTTGGGTAAACAAGTGAGTATTGTCAATAGAGGGAGGGGCTTCATAAATTACAATATCACACTGATGCAGAGTATCAAACCACGTGTCTCAGTAGCCCTGTGCGAGATGATCCATCAAGTTTAAACTTGGCTGGTATAATACTTTATTTGCACTCAACTTCATGACCTTCTCCCTAATGTGTTAACTTGGAAACTCCTATTGGGATCTTCTCTTACGGTGTGTGTGTGTGGTGGGGTGGGGGGTGGGGGGGGGGGGGGAGAATTCGGGAAGGCATCTCTAAAGTGTCTACAGGGTGCCTTGGTTGAAGGAAAGTGTCATGTTCAGAAAACGGGCTTGCATCTATTTAAATAACTCTATAAATTACTTTACTTTACTTTGATGCATATAATATAATCCCTGTACTTGCATCGTCTTTTGCAAGCTTTTAAGCCAGCTGGGAATTGGTAACCCAGTGGTGTTGTCTGTGATTCTACCCAACCTCGTATGGTATTTCCCCCCCACATTAGTTCATGACCTAATACCTCCAAAGCTACATCACCTCGTTGTAACAGAAATCTGACTCTGAAAAGGAAATCAAACATGAGTTGTTACTTCCAACTTCTTGATTAGAATTTATTTTTCTTCATTAACAAATCTTACTCATATTATTCATGTGGAAGACTTGTTCTGATCTGCCAAAATTATTTTGGTGAAGAGGCACTCAGTGTATGTTGAGGAGTGGATTAAAATATGGTCTTCCGTATTATTATGTTATTGCCTGCATGCAATGACATTTTGTATTAACATGTGAAACAGGTGGAGTCTCTCCTTACAGAAATATGTGATACAACTTCAATTGCAGAAGTTGACTTAAAAGTAAGCTGGTATTGTAATTTTTTTCTGTTTATTTTATTTCTTATTCCTATGTCCTTCGCGGAAGTTATTTATGATCTGCCCTTGATGCATGATTTATCTTCAATCATTTTAAAATTCTTCTACTTCTTATGACACTTTTTCATTTTGTTATTAGCTTGGTGGATTTCGTTTGTATGTGAAGAGAGACTTGACAGGGCAAAGTACAACTTCATTGCCTCCAATATCCAGTCCTGTCAGTGTTTCCTCATCTGTTGAGGTGGCTGATTCAAACGGCTCAGCCTCATCAACATCATTAGCAATCACAAAATCTTCACCTCCCTCAGATGGAATTCAGACAATGATTGAAAAAGCTGCAGATGAAGGCTTGGTGATAATTCAATCTCCAAGGGTGTGATAACAGTGAATCTCTCTTTCTCTCTTTATATCTATCTCTTCCTTTCTCCGCCTGAAAATGATAATTCTGATGTGTCATGCAGGTTGGTTTCTTCAGAAGATCTCGAACCATTAAGGGAAAACGTGCACCTCCAGCCTGTAAAGAAGTAGGTGTTCTTTTTCATTTTTTGCTCTTTAAATCATATGATGAGATGTTTCTGTTTGATAAAACTAAGAGATTGACGATGAAGTCTTTGTATAACTGATTACTACTTAAGTTCTGAAAAGTTTACTATTAATCTCATTTTGATATTGCTCCTTCCCCTTCAAAAGGAGGTCTGTTCAAAGTGGACGTCTAAGCAAAATTCTGGAATATCTACTTTATAAAGCTGCCTTTAACTATGTTTAAATATCTGTTGCTTTGTTACAAAAAAAATCTGTTGCTTCATTTTGTGAGAAACTGGATGCTAAATCCTTTTAGTACTGTCATGCAGCCATACGAGGCCAAGGCAAATTTTACTCTATTTCTGAAACCCCCTTCCTCTCAACCTGCCCTCTTTGTCAGTCTCTTCTTTTTTCTCTGTTGCGTCTCTCTCAATTCACAATTAGAAGTGTCCTCTGTGCTTTGGTATTACACTTACTGGCTACTGAACATATGACCTTTTCTTTTTCGTAATTCTATTCTGTAGAAGCAACAAGTGAAGGAGGGACAAGTAGTTTTCTATATTGAGCAGCTTGGAGGCGAGCTCCCTGTCGAGGTTCGGGCCCTGCTATAGATGCATACTTGCATGATTTCTTTTTCACCGTTCACGCTGTTCCTCTTTGCTCTGACGTTTATTTTAAGTACATTCTCATGCATCTTTTTTGATTATCCTTTTGTCTTTTCTTTTCTATCCTCTTTTAGTCTGACGTATCGGGAGAGGTTATCAGGATACTCCGAAAAGATGGAGGTATGCTTCTTAGTTCTTATACGTGCTGAAAATCATTTTGTACAATCATATCTGTGACTACTTGAAGATCTCACTTTACCTGTCTATTGAACAGATCCTGTTGGATATGGTGACCCTCTAATCTCAATCCTCCCTTCTTTCCCTGGTATAAAGAAGCTTCAATAGATGATTCTTGTAGCATATGCCTTCTGGACCAGAGTTCATTATTTTTTTTTAGAGAATACTTGAGTTGAAAATTGTTGATTGCCTTCTATCGGAACAGCGGGATTTTTATTAAAGTTTGTTTATTTCTTTTAGTTTAAATATCTGCACCAGAAATGTTCTAAAATTTTTAATTTATACTCTTTTCTTTTGCATCTTGTGGTATTAGCTCTGGTTCATTCCATTCTAATAGTCATAATTGATGTCAGCAAATTCAACAGCCTTATCATAGAAAATTCTGCAATAAAGAACCAAAAGTACAAAAGAGCTAAACTTGTTGAGAGTAGATTTCAGAAGGGATCCATGCCCCAATCGTGGGATTACAATGGGTTTGTTGTAGTTGTTGCATCCGGTTTCCCGGAGATGTCAAGAACAATAATATACGAATCTCACAGGGTCGGGAAAGATGAAGGTTCTTTGCGATAGACCCACAGCTCTAGAAGTCAAAGACCAATAATATCTTGCGTTCAAATGTTGTTGCCTTTTTTTTTTTTTTTTTTTTTAAATATGAAGGAGACTTTGTCTAGTTATAACTCTTCCCTGTCAACTAGGTGAGAGAGAAAATACAGAATAAAACAGACCGGCGCATACCATTTTATATCCCTATTTTCAAAGGCAACTTAAGTCATACACAGACATACATTATAAAAATCGGTATCTTTTCCTCAATAAAACTAGAGTTCTATTTTTCGCCGAATTCTCTTTATCTATCTTCTTAAGTTGTAATTTTTATAAATAACTTTAAAGACTTATTATTTGTGGGGGTGGGGTGGTGGGTACAAAGCACATTTCAGTTCAAACACGTAATAGATTACTTATTTATAAGAAATTAATTTCAGGAATTGACAATCTGCTAATTCAAACGGGCTCATACGTCTTAAGAGTAATTGACTGGTTAGAGGGCCATACTTGATTTTACTTAAATATTCCTCCTCTGTCACCTTCATTTCTTGATTCAGAGGGTATTTGAAAATAGTACGAGTATAAAACAAGAGCAATAACCAAAAAGCTTTTGCCTAAATTTTTTGTTCTTTTGGGAAGAGTGCAGTATTCATCAATTAATTGTTGATGGCTGGGTTGCAAAGATCAGCGATTTCATTCCGCAGACAAGGTTCATCTGGATTTATATGGGACGACAAATACTTAACAGGTGAACTGATCAATCACCCAGTCAAACATAAAGAAGAAACTAACAAAACACGACTAGGAAAACCCAAAGAGGAATTGATGCTGCAGGTGAAGACTTCATCAACAACCATTGGATCCACACGGAGGAGAGGATTCAACGGCGGTGGAGGGGTGAACCCGACAGCAGAGCCACCATCTCCTAAGGTTTTTGCATGTGGATTGTGCAGTGCTATTAATGGCAAAAAAGGTAAGTCCCACCGTCGACAACCAGGGGGCCAATGACAAGTCTTCGAAAGCCAAGAGCTAGTTAGTTGCTTCACTTGCCTCAATAGCATGGCATATAGATGCAATGGATCCATTGTAGTAGACTAGGATATAACAAAACAATTACTCCTACAAACTAGGCTCAGTTTATCACCACTTGTTGCGGTTATATAATATGAGAAGGTCCAGTAGTCAACTTATCATTTACCATGAGAAATATGATCACTCCAAACACAATAACCAGTCATCAATAGCGAATCAATTTTACAAGGAACGAACTTTGAATGCAATATGATTCTTGTTTAGCTTTGGTCCATAGTTTGGCTCAGAGGTACTTTCTTGCAAGGGCTCTAACTTTAGTATCAAAGTGAGAGGATGTGATGCGAGATCCTGGCAAATACAGAGGATTCAAAAGTATCTGCAAGTTTTGCAGCAACAGATTAGTGAATTTCTATCTAAAAATACTTAAAGCACATAGCTCACTTCAAAACAGGGCATGAAGAAGTAGCACATTACATTATCTATGAGCGTATAAATGAAAAAGTCACAATGAAAGAGGGTGGCATCTAAGCTCAATCTCTCAGTTTAAACATTAACTTTAGAATTTTATTCAATTATGTACTTCTTGAACTGCAACCATTTCTTTGGGGGAAAAAAAATCTAGTTTTCACCACAATACAAGTTCAATTATATTTGCGCATTACAAAATTTTGAATTATCATACAGTTACCAACTATGGCTAAACTTGACAAAACCAACGTATCTATCCAATATTAAGTTTTCAGTAGTTACATGAACCACTGTAGACCATGTGTTTCATTTATAGAAAAACAAATCCAAAAGATATCTTAGAAACACTGGAACAGTACCAGCCTAACAAATCAGTACATCCAGTGATGAGTACCAAAAAGGTACTAATGCACGTCGGAAGAGTACTTTGTTGTGCTGCAACCCCAAAAGAGCAAGGCAAAGAGAACAAAAGACAAAGAAACTAATCATATCCGAGGAACTCCAAAATGAAATCTATTAAGCCCAATTGAACTTCATAAGATCAGAGATATTTAAACACTGCTGACATGAATTCAAGATGACTTCACAGCAACTGATCTTATTATCACATACGGAAAAAAATATTCCAAGAAATTCTTTTAATAGCCATGCCTACATACAGAAGTTTCTGCTTAAAAGAATCTCTTGGTATAGCTGGAACACAAAAAATAAGTAAGTTTAATAAGAGCTCACAATAGGTATGCAAAGATGTCAGCAGTCCCCCATCCCAAAGAGCAATAAAGTGAGGCCTTTACTAGGTTTGAGCAGCAAAAGTTGATTAAATAAACTAAAATGTATGACCCCTGTGTTTTTTATGTCCTATAAGAAAGCATTCAGAAAAGGCTTTACCTTTATATATAGTTCATGGACCTCCTGGAAGAAGCTTTTTATCCCATCATCATTGCGAGAGTCATGAAGCAGCATCAATCGCGTATGTATGCTTGATTGGTTAAGGGGACAAAAAACAAAATGTTCACATTTGTAAAGTCAAACTGGTGATGCTGACAGTATGGTTCCCACATACAATACCATATTAACTTATCCAGCTACGAGAACATCTAAAACATGCTTCTTCCTCTCATTTCTTTTTCTACTTCTGATAGGTAAATATATGCTACAGAGGGAGACAGTACAAGTCCGCCTTGTCATTCCAACTAGTATTAAACCAATGATAAGTAAAGAAGGTAAGATAATTAAAAACATCAGGAGATTTAGCCTTCAGGTGCTCGAAGTTAAGAGTTAACTATCATCACTGGCTACAGAATGGGATAAAGAAGACATAAATGTGGTTATGTGGACCAAATTTAGGACAAGATGGAGTTGTTGGGGGAATGGTCCTCTTCAAGATCATAAAGGTTAAGAAATATGGGTTATCTCTTCTTCCTAATTCTGATATGGCAAATCACTTCACACATCATTCCATATGCTCCTAATCTTCCACAAGAGGAGTCAACTGGAGAAAAACTGATAGGCAAATTCATCTGTGACACATGGAGCACTACTAAACAATGACTAGCTTTATAAGTAACCAGTTACCACCATAAATCAAATAATTTCAGTACAAGAAGCAAGCTGTTGTATCGATTGTTAAGGAGAAACCCAGGTAAAACACAAGCTAGCACCATCATCTATTTTCTATAACCAAAACAGTGCTGTCACTAAGTACTGATTTACTATAACATATAGAGGATATGACCAGCAGTGACGTAAACAGAAACCACCAAATCATTGAATCTGTCAATTGATTTCAAGAACCTGGATGTAGAAAGAAGAATCACTATGAGGATGATGATTTAAAGAAACTTTGCAATGGAAACTCACAATTAATGCCTTGATGACTAGGGGAAAGCAACCTTACATAGCACTTGTAGTCCATGCAAGGTCCTGGACAATATCCAATGCTGCATGTAATATAAACTGGTGCTGATGAGCAGCATCTTCTTTCTAGCATGCAAGTACAATATACAAAATCACCAAGCAACTACAACACTTGTCATCAATGACAGAAAGTAAAGATGTGCATACAGTTTGACAATGGCGCAAGACTGTACAGTCCACACTATAAATTCAAATGCATTATAACTACCTCATTGAAAATCTCGCGAGCAAACTTTACATAATTCACATTATGACGTAAAACTGTCAAAGTTTCTTTATATAAGATATTGCTTATGTTGTGACCTGTGATTTAAGGTGAGATGGAAACTAGTGACTGAACATAATCCAAAAAGGAACAAAACAAGAAAAAAGAACCCAGATACTGATAAGCACTGTAGTTATCTCTTAACCTTAAGACGATCTGATCTCTACATATAGAAATATTATTCCTCACCAAAAACCCAATTCTGATCCTCCAGTAAAACCAAAGAGAGAAAAAAATGACAAATCAAAATCAGTTGTTTTGGATCAGCTTTACACAGCATTTTTTAATCTGTGCTACCATATAGAGAGCAATATTCACTCGATTGTAAATAGTTTTCGAAGATTAAAAAGAGGTTTATGTACATTTCCCATTGATGATTAACCAGATTCAAAGTGATGCAAAATTAGAAATCTCTACTAGCATGATCAGAGCTAAGCTTTAAACTGAGGCAACAACAACAACAACAACATGCCCAGTGTAATAGTCCGGAGAGGTACCCCTACCTCAGGAGGCAGAGAGGCTGTTTCCATACACCCGCCGCTCAAACATTTAATGAAAAAAAAGGTAGAGCAAAGGTCAATTACCTTTGGCGCAGTGCCAACTTCAGCTTCGTAGATAGGGATATCATTCCTGCTTACAATCATAAAACATGCTGTGCTTGCCATTTTCCTTTAAATTTTCGGATCCCTAAATCCCTTCAAATACAAAACTGAATCAAACTCACATTTTAATTACACATTAGAATACAGCTTCAGTGATCTCAATATCAATTAAGATCAACTAATGATAAATTTTGAATCTACGGAAATCTAGAAGAGAAAGAAAGAGTACTTACAGCTCGATTTCGAGAAGAGATCGCGAGGAGTTCGCCGAAGAAACGGGACGGAGAAGTTCGCAGAGAAGGCAGAGTGCCGTAAAACTGGGCCGAAGAAGAAACTCTGCTGTAGTGAAAGTTGGGCCTGTAATCATCTGGAGTTCGGATCTAAATGTTGACGCCACTCCATTTTTCAAAAAATGGCCACTTTTAGGACGACTATTTAATACAGAGTCAAAATTTATGCTATGTTTTAAAAAATAATATCGGCAAGTTTTTAATTTAAATCTTTCGCATTATATGCTTGAAACCACTAAATCAAAGAGATATTTTAATACGTTTTACATGTCTTAAATATAAACATATCTCCGCACGTAATTAAGTTTTTATGATATCCTGTTCGTACTAACAAAAGATAGCTAGCGCCTAGTAGTGATGGGATTGAATTATTTGCTCAAATCTATTATACAATATTGCCAATATAGGAAATTCCCAAATTCTTTTTTAATTACTTTCTTGGAACCTTCCTTTCATAACTATTATAATAGTGATGCAAACATAGAAATGACCTTGAATATTGTCAAGTTTATTACACATTATAAATCCCTCAAAGTTTTTCAGTTTAATTAATTAACAGAATTAGACGGGGGAGCTGATCGATCATGAGATTTTATAATGTTTCTATTTTTGCATCACTACTATATAATACTATATTTTCCTTCTTGCTTTTTGTAAATGTGAACAGTTTTGATTCCTTCATTCAGTTTCCCACATTGGAAGATTCAAGAGGCAAATCAGTATCCCTTCTTTACGTGAATGAATTTGGAGCCAAAGGAGATGGCATCACCGATGACACTAAGGTAATTCCTTTTACTCGGGTCAAATCATTAATATTTGCGCTTACATAATAATATGTCAGATCAAAGGATGGACGCTCTTAGGGATAAATACAAAAAATAAAATTAAAAAAATTAACATGATATGTGTATCTAAGAGAATTTGATATTTTGATTAGAGTAAGAGTAACGTTGTGTTTTATCATAGTCATGAATCTATTTATAGTTGTGTCTGTTAATTAATGCTGGTACTTGCCTTTTATGCATGTATTTTACAGATTTTTCAATATGTTTGGAAAAGGGCGTGTGCTTCATTCTTAAGACCAAAAATTATAGTCCCAATTGGATATTCATTCTTAGTTCAACCAATTGATTTTGTTGGGCCATGCAGATCAAAGATTTCTCTAATAGTAAGTATTTATTTATACTAAAGTCTTAAACAATACTAAAGTTTTGCAACATAGATATATAATATTTTGTTGCAATTAAAACTACAGATTGAAGGTTCAATAGTAGCACCAAAAGATCCAAAAGTGTGGGATAAATTGGATGCACATAAATGGCTTTATTTTGTTAAAGTGAGACATCTCACTGTACAAGGAGGAGGAACAATAAATGGGATGGGCCAAAAATGGTGGGCTACTTCATGCAAGATTAATACAACCAATGTAATTTCAAGTTATTACTTTGGAGTTTTTTTTCGAGATTTTTAACGATGACTATTTTTCAATTATAGAATTAAAAAATCGCTATTCACAAATCCCTTTAATTTCCTTCACCATGAATGTCTAATGTGATACAATTTTCTAATGTTTTGCAGCCTTGTCGACATGCTCCAACCGTAGGTGCTATTTTCTCCGGTCTCATATGTTTTTAAGAGTTTAACTTCTATAAAATTGACAGTATATTACGTATACTTAATGAAATACAGGCGATGAGTTTCCACAAATGCAACAACTTAAAAGTGAGGGACATAAGGATGCTAAATAGTCAACAAATGCATATATCAATTTCGAATTGCATAAATGTTGAAGTATCACGTATGATAGTAGAAGCACCAGCTAAGAGCCCTAACACTGATGGAATTCATATAACCTCATCAATACGTGTTGCTATAAAAGATTGCACTATTCGGACAGGTATGGAAAATTAAATTAAATTATCCACCTCTATCGAAGAGAGATATTTTACTCGTATGCATGATTTAAATTTAATCGGTTTGAAATTCGATTATTATTTATTAATAAGGTCACAATCTGAATATACGATTTGCCAGGAGATGATTGTATATCTATAGTCAACAATTCTTCAAGTATTCTAGTAAAAAATATTGCTTGTGGCCCTGGACATGGTATAAGGTACAACATTTAACTATTTGTTTTGTTTATAATTAAGAATTAAGATCATACATGTACTGTAGAAATTTTTTTTAAAAAAAATTGGCTTGATGGCTGGTATTGTTGTAGCATTGGAAGCTTGGGAAAATCAAATTCATGGTCTCAAGTGCACAATGTTTGTGTTGATGGAGCATATTTTTCCAATACAGAAAATGGTGTCAGGATTAAGACTTGGCAGGTAGGTAATCCTATAGTACTCGTTATCTAGTAATTTATATGACACTTTTTGCTTCTCGATAATTAAATTGACTTAATTTTTGAAGCTAAATTTGATTTAGATCAATTCACTAAATACTTCAAAATTAAAGTTTAAATATTGAAAAATTATACGATAAATACTATTAAAGAATGACAAAAGTCTCACATCGGTGGTTAATGAGATGCGTGGACTCTTTATAAGACTTCGATAATTCCTCTCCCTTTCAACTAGCTTTTGGGATGTGAGTTAACCTAAGATTGAATTTCACATGGTATCAAAGTAGGGTCCATCACACCCGATGTTGGGGTTCTCAAAATCAAAGTTGCTCACGCCTAGTGCTTAGTGTAAAAGTATGACCAAAGTCTCACATTGATGGTTAATGAGATAGATGTCTCCTCCCTTTGAACTAGCTTTTAGGGTAAAACGTGAGTTAAGCCTAAAATCTAATTCAACAAATACTATCTCATTTCAATATAGTAAAAAAAGATACTAGTCAAAATTCACATGTCACACAAACCATATAGCGTGAGTATTACTCTGTTGATTCTCTTACAAGTGATTGTCATGAATATTATCATTTAATTTTAGCTAATGCTTTAAATATTGGCAGGGAGGTAGAGGGTATGTGAGAAGGATTAGTTTTATGAATGTGTGGATGGAAAATGTATCAAATCCCATCATAATAGATCAATATTACTGCGATTCTCCATTCCCCTGCCCAAATCAGGTAAGCGTCGAATACTTCAAAAGTGATACATTTTTGAAAAACCTGACACGAATTACCACTAACATTTCGGTAACTATGTGAAAATTTGATATGCAGACTTCTGGTATTCATATTCACAGCGTATCCTTCATTGGAATTAGAGGAACTTCAGCAACAAAAAATGCAATTAAATTTGCCTGCAGTGATAGCTCCCCATGTAAAAAGCTATTTCTGAAAGATGTTCAACTTGTTTCATATTCGGGGCTCCCTACGGCATCGTTTTGCTGGAAGGCATATGGATCAACCTCAGGGCTAAACAATCCACCTTCTTGCTTCAACTTTGTGGAACAGACAACAAAAAATTTATCCAATTGGAGTGATCAGTTTATTTGAATTATTTTGGATAATAATCTCATAATTAATTTGATCAAGGCATAAATTAAGAGGTTTAGCTTAATTATTAAATCATGTATGCACATTATATCCAAGGCATGTAAATTTTTGTAGTACTTGATGAGATGAGAAGGTTATGAATAATCTATCCTTTGAAATTAAGGATCTTGTAATTGTGGCCCAAAAATTTATTACATGTGTAAATTCGGATTAGTTCATAAATGGCCATTTGGAGTGGTATTAATTTTTGGTCCGGTTTAATAAATATTTTAAAATTATTTCAGTTTCAGAAACTTTAAGCTACGCGAAGTTTTTGTTACCCATTGAATATAAGATAGTGAATATAAATTAATTTTGTTTATAAAAAGAGAAATTCAGGACAATTCAATCACAAGGTATATCTATTTATAGGTGAAAAAAATAGGACCAATGATTGATGGACGAGAAAAATTCTTCGATAATTTACACAAATCTGCTAGTGTTAAGAGTTAATTATGTTGTTTTATTTATTTTTTTAAATAACAAAAATTTTTAAAAATTTGTAAATTTCGAACACATCACGAGACATTTGAATACATAGGGGATGAATATATCCGAGAGGAAAGAAATGTGTCAGAGAGGGGATGAATTCGGATACATGGGGGAGAGATATATTTAAAAGGGAAACAATATATCAAAGAGGGGATATGATTCGAATACATAGGAGATGGATGTATTCGAGATGGATAGAAATGTATCAACAAGAGGAAGATGATACATCCGAGAGGAATTTTTTTTTTTAAATAATAGAAAATTTAGAGATTATACTAAAATAAAATGTATATGTAGATAATTTTTCCAAAATTCTTCTTGATGAAAGTCATTTTTAAATACCCGTTAATCGAGATTAGACAATTTTTTTTAGATTGAACACTTTTGGAGACAACGTTTGTCATTTTCTACTTAAATTGCATAGATGAATTTTGAATTTCCAAATTTATCTTTAATTTGTTATTCAAAATAATTAAATTGTTCAAACTTTAAATGAATGTTTGAATTTTTTCCCGCATCACCTTTTACTTCATTGACGTTTTAATTTTTTCAGGAGATACATTATATTATATACAAAATTATATTTATGACTTCACAAATAACAAATAATATAATCTAAATTATACTTTTAAATATATTTTAATAAGGGTTTATTATCTCACAAATTGAGTTATACAAATTCTGTTTTCCTAGTCGGTAGAAACAAAAAGCCCTAGTTCAAAAGTAACAGTTAATTATCCCGCCGTTTCATTTTCAGCGGGATCAGTCCCTCCATTGCTCAGTTGACGAAATAATTTTGAGTTGCAGAGAGTTAAAAGAGTTGAAATATGGAAGAGTTAGCAGAAGGAGTGAGCAATTTGAACCTGGTTGATTCTCAGAAGAAGAATCGGATTCAAGTATCTAATACTAAGAAACCTCTGTTCTTCTACGTTAATCTATCCAAGGTACAAAAATCATAATCAAACTATTTTGTTTGGTTTAATTTGTTAGATCTTTTTCTATTATTGGATTTGATGTTTGAATTTATGGTTGTAGAGGTATATGCAGCAGTATAATGAAGTGGAGCTTTCAGCTTTGGGAATGGGTATTTTATCTCAACTCTATGTTTCTTTTGTTATTCATATCCTAGTTTTACATGTTTGAACTTGCTTCTCTCCCCCAGGCCTTGTGGGATTACACTTATCATGTTGTTGTTGTTGTTATACTGTTTAGCAGGTTGCACTCTTAGTTCGTTCTGTTTTCTACTTATCCTCCCGTTTTATGTGTTTGATTGGGTATTGTCTATATAAGTGGTGGTAGAATAATTATTGTTGTTGTTGTTTTTGAAAAGTTAGCTTGATAGAGCATGGAAAATTTTGTATTTTTTTTTTGTGTGGGTGAGAAGGGTGGTGGCTTAGTGGTTAATGAATTGGATTGAGAATTGGCAAAAGCACTAGTTGATTTCTTCCATTTCTACGAAATTAGCTTCTCACTAGTAAATATTTAATATTTCTCCTTTCTCATTCAGCTTGAGATTGGTTTTACAATTTTAAAAAGAAAGAACAATCTTAATCTAAAGTAACAATCATCAAATTAAGGAACAAATACAAGTACTTAATTCACTAAAAACAAATAAGGAAAAAGATGAAAAAGGAGAGACAAGAGTTCACACTGGAGGCTAGATATTGGATAACAACAATTAGATCAACAATAAAAGTTAGAACCCTAACTTTTGGAGAAAAAAAATTGAGTTAAACTTTTTGAATGTGATTAGAAATCAATTGTTAGATATTGTAGTTTCAGAGTACAATAGAAATAATATTATCCTTTTTTTTAAAATAATTTTTTAAAAAAATTATATAAACCCACCTATATTTTTAATTAATCGTTATCGATTTTTTTATTTTTTAAAAAAATTAATTACGACACAAATACTATTTCCTTACCGATATTCTATTTTTTAATTACTTTTTTATATAAACAAGCGTTTAGAAATTAATCCATAAAATTGTGTGACTACCTAGATTCGAACCCACATTTCTCGCTGGGTGCTCCGCAACCACTATGTGGGTTGGCAGTAAATAGATATATACATTGTACTTCATATTTAAATATGAATATAGGGTGTACGGAAAAGCTAGTGAGTTCGGCCGAACCTCCCCTTCCGCTACAATAGCTCCGCCTCTAGTCTTATATCAGGGTTACAGTTTTAAGAAAAAGTCTATATGTTTGGGATTTATTAAACTCGAAAGCCTGAGTTAAGTTGGGAAGGTGGAGTGTTTAACTTTGCTTCCTCTTTTCCAAATAATGCTATTTCGAGATACTCCTGTTCTTCTCTAAGGTTTTGTAGCAAAAAGTCTGTTCAGCAGAGTTTTACTTCATTGCTCTCCGCCTCTTTTTTTTTTTTTAACGACTGATCTCCGCCTTTCCGGTTTAGACTTCCAGCCATTAAAGGGATAGTATTAATTTGTTAAATCAGATAAACACTGAATTCAGTGAATTTCTCTGTTACATCTTCTTAAATCATTGTTAGTATTGGTTTTGAACTTTCAACGTGTTCCCTTGTTGGTTGCTCTATGATTCAAGAATTGTGCTTGTCATAATCTCTGACTTCCAGTGAATTTCTCTCTGGGTCATTCGTCCTAATTTTGCTCTATCCTTATACTTGATCTAAAAACTACTCATGATGGCCCAGTGCCTAAAAGTTCTTAACACTGTGCTGACACTCTGGTTCTGATGTGAATCTGCAGCGATTTCAACAGTTGTATCAATTGCTGAAATTCTAAAGAATAATGGGCTGGCCACTGAAAAAAGTAAGATTTCACATTAGATGCAAATTTACTTCAGTATTTACTATTCTATGTTCAAAGTTTATGATATAGACACGCATATTGATATCAATGTAGTCAAAGGTGCACTTAAGGAGCGCCTAAGCCCCGAAGCAAGGTGCAGAATGTTGAACACTTCTTTATGGGTGTTTCAGTATTGTCATAAAGGCTTTTAAGGCATACCTTTTTTTTTTGAAAATGAGCACTATTCTGAAGACGTGTAATAAGCAATTTATATTTCATTTTATTGTAAAAAGAAAATTCAATTTCTTTATCCAAGTATTTTTGTTCCTGCGTATAATTGTATTTTTGTATTTCTTTATCTATTTTCACCTTTCTTCATTAAATTCCACACTTTATTTGTGTTTGGCGCTTAAAGCCCAAACTGACCTGAGTGCTCTTTTGATTACACCGACTGATATCTGTTCTTTGAAACCTAAATGCAGAAATCATGACTTCTACGGTTGATGTAAATGAAGACATGAGGGGAAGACCTATTCAGAAAGCTAAGGTATGTGTTTGCACATGTGTGGGGATATTTATTTTGGTTGGGCATTGAGAAATTAATTATGTTGTCTCTGTGGGTGTGTCTGTCAACGGGGGATATTCTGTTTAGATTATTTGTTAATGTCGGTTATGTTTGGCTTTGGGGAAAAAGTGACTCATCCCATACCAAAATTTTGCCTTGATTGTTATCTTTCCCTTAGTCGAACAGAAAGTAGCATCATATAGACGTTACAGATAATCCATCTTCGAACATTAGCAAATGCCTATACCATCTTCACTTAAATTCTTCAATGTTGTACAACGAATACAATAAAAATGTTCTTGGCTATCGGTGTTGCCACTTATTTCTACCTCTTGTTGAAATATGTTAACATTGTGGATGCTTCTTTTTCAGATTGAAATCGTACTGGGTAAGACGGTGAACTTTGATGAGTTGATGCTCGCTGGGCAAAAGGATGGAAACAATATTCAGGAACAGAGTTGAATAAATATATTGTAGTTAATGTTCTCAGATTCTGTCCGTTGTAATTTAGAAGCAAATTTACCTTCGTCCCCTATATTATCCTTTTTTGTTCTCTACAGGTTTTCTTTGTCTAAAGTTCTTCTCCCTCTCTTTTGCCTCCAAGATACAGTTGGCCCTCTTTTTTTGGGTGTCTAAACTGAATTTTACATTGTCTATTTCGAGTCGTTACACCAGTTCAAAATTTCCTGTTAAGTTTTACATGTTCAAAGTTAACTGCTCCACTTGTCTATATTTCAATTATATGTAATGTAATACTTTGACGCAGATAATATGGGTGTGTAACCAATTTTGGAATAGTTTCAGAGATGATCCTAATGTTATTTCTGTCTTATTTTGTATGCCTGCTAAAACTATGAAGTCTTTCACTGCGTTCTTTTAGGATTTTTCCACTAAAAAAGTCTGCAATTTTCTCCAGTTATGACTCCAATAACGATTAACCAGAAGAAGAAATGCAATTTATGGCAGCATGGTTACAAGTGTATATGTAGGATGAATTAACTTTTGGGATTCCAAGAATGAGTGGCTTTAACAGATTTATCGTTGAATAAAAGCAAACCTAAAAATCTGTCAGAGGTATCATTTTAGAATTTGTGGCTTCAGAGTTACCTAAAGATGCTTATTGTTCCTGTGTAGGAATAGAAAAATGGAAGTTATAATCCTAAATAGTTTTATTTACTTTATGAAAATAATCCGAATATAGAAAGGAAAAAAATACTTATATACACACATTAACTTGTCTCGTTTTCTATTTATCCTTACATTTTTTTTTAAATATTTCACAAATTTCTTATTTCTCTCCATTCCT